TGGAACTCAAATTATCAGACTTGATATTAAACACTTTATCCAAGACCTCTGGTGTTCTGTTCATTCGTTCGTTCCTTCATTCCTTCCCAGTGGTGGGAGTGGAACATGGCGGCCATAATCTCTACCACTGGACCTGACTTGAGCTTTCTGCAATTGGTTCTTTTCTTCTACCATGTGGGTGTCCAGGGTCGAACTCAGGTCAATGGGCTTGGTAGCAAGTGCCTTTACCTGTTGGCCTTTATTTTCTTCTCTTTTTTCCATTTTTTCAGACAGGGTCTCTCTCTCTCTCTCTCTCTCTCTCTCTCTCTCTCTCTCATTGTTTTTTGTTGTTTTTTGAGACAGGGTTTCTCAGTGTAGCCCTGGCTGTCCTGGAACTCATTATGTATAGACCAGGCTGGTTTCAAACTTGGAGATCCACCTGCCTCTTCCTCCCCAAGGCATATGCCACCACTACCTGGCTGAAACAGAGTTTCTTTATGCCCCCTTGGCTGTCTTGGAACTAGGCTGCAGACCAGGCTGGCCTCAAAATAATCAGAGATCCACCTGTCGCTGTCTCCCCAGTGTTAGGCTTAAAATCATGTGCCACCTGGCCAAACTCCATTATTTTATACCTAATCTTTTCTTCTATTGTTTTCTGGAGCATACAAAATGATCCACATGCCATTATACATATTCATATGGAAACTTGTATGTTTTTCTTCTACAAATGGCTTTATCCAAGTCACACAAATAAAAATCATGTTAAAAAACTTGAAATAGGAGGGTGCAAGGGAGAAGAATCGGAAGTTAGCCTCAGATACAAAGAGGAATGGAGGCCAAGCTGGGTTCTTCTTCTCTTGTCTAACATGTGTAAGGACCTGGTTTCAACTCCCCCAGCTCTGACAAATAAAGAAGGGGTTAAATTAAGGGGAGACTGGACGGTGTGTGTGTGTGTGTGTGTGGGGTAACGGGTGGTAGAGCACGCCTTTAATGCAGCACTCGGGAGGCAGAGACAGGCAGATCTCTGAGTTCAAGGCCAGCCTGGTCTACAGAGTGAGTTCCAGGACAGCCAGGGATACACAGAGAAACCCTGTCTCGGAAAAACCAAAATAAAATAAAGGGTGGGGTGGGGGAAAGATTGTGAGTCTCATTATTTCTGGGTGGTTCCTCTTCTTGTAACCCAGGCATTGACAGGAAATGCACAAACAGTGCTCTCAGATGCTCCAAGAGGCTGTTTACCAAGAAACCGATTGGGCAAAAATCAGAAACTTTTCTCTTGCCTGTCGAG